GCCGCAACCCACTCCCGGCCCTCCGCTCCCGCCGCAGCGCCCCGCCCTCTCCGTCTCCGGGAGCCTCGGCCTGCGGGCGAGAGAGCGCTCCTTCCTAGAGAGACAACGCGCCCCTCCCACCCCCTTTAAAAGGTCCCCTTCCACCTCGTTCCCGAAGGAGGTAACTGCGCATGCTCTGTGCCACTCAGAATTGGAGGAAGTTGCTGGGTCTGTGTGCAAATAGCTGTTATGTGGATTGCGCTGTGATTTCTGGGTTCGTTCAAGGGAGCACAGTGTTTTGATCCCTTATTTCTGTCAGGCAGGCGGCAGCGAGGAAAAGAACCATTTAGGGCTTATTTAAGCAATTAGCTCCTTTGGCCATTGAGTGCTCCCTTGTCTCAAGTGTTTCCTTTCACTGGAAGATGCAGAACTGGACAGGGTTCCCACAGTGCTAAGCCACAGTTCATTTAACGACAGTTGGTGTAAAGCTTGTCCTGTTGAACTTCGCTCCAAACTGCTCCTGGGAAGCACAGGATCACACATTTGCTCTAAAATCTGCCTCAAATGGGCTGCCAACTACAAAAACCACTACACTGAGAAGTTTGATCAGCAGTAGCAGTTTCAACATCAGGGCCAGGATGGGATGGAAGCTGGGCTCTTCACTGAGGAGCAGGCTCAGAAAAGGTACCCTACCAAGTATTTCTGAGAAAATAAGAACTTGCAAAAGCCAAGAGGTTCACTCTTCACAGACCTTAATATCTACTGATCTATCATATCATGATGAAACTTTTACCACAGTTCATCCAGCCTCTCCCTTTGGAAACTTGTCAAAGTTTAACTCTTCTGTGACCTTAAAGAAATCATGGAGAGCAAGTATAAACCAGCAGACTGGAGGTGGGCAAAAGTGGTTCTTTGTCCAAAACAGGAAGAGGAGAACTTGTGTAACCAGATACTGGATTCCTTCAACCCACAATAGCCATTGCAGATGCCTCTGGGTAGGAGCTGTGAAGCAGACACACGGGCACGAGACAGCTGCCCTCTCCACATCCTCTGTATTCAGAGTAGATTTTCCAAGCCACTTTTTCTTCTTGGGGGAAAATCAGTAGCCTCTCCATATGAACCACATAGCCTAGGGTCACACTTTCTGCTAAGCCACAGTTAGCATAAGTCACAGTCAGACTGAACTCATGGCTTCTTGAGTAGTCATTGCAGTACCAGGAAACTCCAGGCCTTAAAGCTGGCTGGACTCTCAGTTGTAGGTTTGAGACCACCACCACTTCCTGCCTGAGTCTATCCTCAGTCTGAACCTGGACCAAGGATGTGACTGGTTCACTTTCGCTGTGTGAACCCAGACAGAAGGGTTAACTCAGTAGTCCTGTCAGAACTTCTGAGTTCTCTGGACGGAAGGGCTGCCCTTCTGCTATTTCAAGAGACATCAGACTTGCTACTGACCACCAGAATCTCTGGAAATGATCATGGTGGCTCATCTGGAGCTTCCTTTGGCTTTTCCCACTACATCCTAAGGCTATCTGAATGGTATCTGCAGCCCACCTTCCCTTAAGATGTCCAAGCAGACAGACAGATGTTCTATCATTGCCCCCTGTACAGGCTTTTATAGGACCACTATTGTACTAATCAGATATTTTTACAGCTTAATAGAGACATGTCTTGACTAGAAATTGGGCATGAAATCTCTAAAGTATCCTAAGTAATTAATGGCCTATTAGAATGTATTAGCCATATGGTACTTTAGATCTGCTGGTTATTCAAGACTTCTTAGTTATCCACTTGTATTTTATTGCTCATTAGTTTCCCCCCCCCCTTTTTTACTGTATTTTCTATACAGTATTGTTTTAATCCTGTATTTGTATCATTTTTTCTTTGAAATTATAATAGTAAGAAACAAATAACTATACAGCTTTTATTTTTTAACTTGAAGTACTTACATATCAAGCAATCATTAGCAAAGGAGACAAATACAAGGAAATGCTCATACACAGGGACTAAAAAGAACCTCCAATAGATAAATCTACACGAGAAGACATCAGGCGGAGGAGAGATGTTAAATCCCAGTTTCCAGCCTCTCTTTCCCACCCCCCCACAGGACCTTATCTCTGCTCCTAGAGAATGAAACCAAAGAGGAAGAAGTTGTGGGGACTCTCTTTATGGTGCACAAGAGACATCCCTGCCTCAGTCAGGAAGATCCTGTTTGAGCTTTTTAATTATGGTTATTTTCCTTCCTGCCAAATACAGGCAACTCTCCTTCCTCCCACAGCAAATGCCACTTGGTCTGAAGAGGGGAGAACACCTCTGAGGAATGTGGTCAGGCAATGATTAGCACGTTTCTCAGCGCATGAGGAGCACAAAAAAGTTGAGCAGAGGAACCCCCAAAGGCAAACCAAGGAATGTCAAAGCAACACTGGACAGCAGCCATTGATCTGAGATGCTGACTGTGTGGCTTTTGCTGGCTAGGAAACAATGATGAATCTTGTTTAATGAGTTATGGATGAACACAGAGTCAGCCAAAGTCTTTTCTGAGTATCATAGCCACCCCATTGCTTTGGATGGTCTCAAGCTCTGAATAGTATTTCACATAATCATTGGATCTGAAGTGGCCCTTCCTGGTCCAATTCAGTTTGCTTAGTTCAGTGTGCTCTCTCTTCACTTTGTTGTTTCAAGTTTCTAAGAATGTGGTTTCATTCTTTTCACAATCCATGTTCCACCTTTACACATCTTTGAAAAATGAGGAAAACATAATACTAATTTGAAGCAACTCACCTCCATCTGGAGATGCAGAGTAAGAAAAAGAGTGAGAAATTCATCTACACTTTTACTAACAAAAGATACAGCAGAAAAAAGTAGTGTGCTTCTCAGGAAAGGAAAAAAAAACACCAAATATTTTATTCTTCTTAAATTAAGGGACAAGACTGTAGCAAGCTTTTTACAGAGTTGGCTAAAAGTGGGCTTTTGGAGAGGAGGAAGTGTGTTCCTTTTTTTATTGGGGGGGCTGGCAGAGGTTGCTATTGAGTATTTGACAGTTTCACCACTATTATCATAATGACATTTTTGTAACTTTCAACTGGATTCTGCCACGCTTATTCTACATGGTGGAACAAACTGGGACAAGCCTTTCCTTTCTTCTATGGGACACCTCACCAAATGCTTCAACAGGGCTATTATATCCCTCTTGGTTGACTTTTTTTACAATGCTGAACATTCCCACCTGCTTTAATCTGTTTTCAACTTAACTTGAGCTATCTGATAAACCCCATTGGCCTCCAATGCAACAATCCCAGGTTGAATCCCTTAAATTGGGGAAATACTTGAGATTGGGTCTCACAATGTGGAGAGGGATTTATACTTCCTTGGTGAAAAAGACTGGGGCAAAATAAGAATTCAGTTCATTTTTTTCTTTTAGCCAAATCCACAGAACACCTGGTATACCGAATATACCTTGCCAACCTTAGGTCATTTTCAACCTGAACATTTCGGTGACTTTGGGCCAATCACTCTCTCTTGGCCCAACCTACCTCACTGGATTGCTGTTGTGGGGAAAATAGGAGACAGAGTATTGGGTATGTTTGCTGCCTTAAGGTGTCCAAATATAACAAAAAATGGGATAATAATAACAACAATAATTCAAACAGACAAGCAACTGCCACACAACACTCCAGACTTAACAATTGTTGGTAAGAAAGACAAAAAAGACTGGATAGTGGACATTGCAA